AACATATTCACTCGCATCATCTCCATCTTCAAAGTCAGAGATATCACTATTATCAGGAACATCCATGACAATCCTGCGAACTTCTTCCGCAGTGTAATGTCTTGTTCTTCTCCCAGCCATGTTGTTATCCCCCTGCTGATGTTTTAGCAATTTTAAGAGAAAAATGACTCAGTGGTAGGTTGAAATGTAAAGATTGATTTACGTACGCCATTTTTAAATATCCTTCCGAGCAATTAAATCTTCATATCCTACAAAAGCCGAATTCATTAATTGCTTTATTATTCATTCAAAATAATTCTTAGTTTAAAAACATAACTAAAACATGCTTACCTGCATCGATGTTAAGTTCATCTTCGATAGTGTACCTTAAGGTTTGTCCAGCTTTGCAAATATTCTCTAAATAGCAGATGTCGCCCTCCGAGTTGTCTTCTTGCTGTTTTTGCCATGTTTTTTGCTATTATTACGCCTACTTCCAGCTGTAGTTTTTACTCTTGAAACGAGTGAAGCGTCTGCCATGTTTATTTTCACAATCAAAACAACTCAGCCTTGTTCCCACAGTGCCTTAACCTTTAAGGTCTTTCATCTGGCTAAAATGTAAAAAAAACTTGCCTTCATTTTAAGTTATATGAAAGACTAAAAGTAATAATAACGAACTCCAAAAGATGAGATTCTTCCCTGCGCTACTTTTGAAGAAATCGATGGTTAAATTTTGTTGTCAAGGGTGCCATTTTACGACGCCATATTGGATTTGAAGTTGCATAATCGCGCAGCGGTAAATGTCTGCATGCGCGTTGAATCTCTGTTCGAGTGCTTCATCGTGATATCTCGTGTGCTGATCTCGCAGACTTCATCAGTGAAATGGAACAATAAGGTAAGCCATGTTCATCTTTTTTGTAAGTTCTCCCATTTTTTCTTTTGTTTTTAAGCTTTTTATGATCCAAACTTTCTCGTTTTCCAAAATAGATCATGGAAATTAACGCAGAAGCCATCGGAAGTCTGTCAAACCTTTTGCGTGAACGCGGGTAAGTCTCTTGATTTCAGTTTATCCAACTATTTTAAGAACTATTCTTTCGTCTTCTACATTTGTTAAAATAATATTTCAATACGTTTTTCTTTCTTTTCCAGCCTTGAGTTACCTGTAACTCTGAGAGACCTGCTAGTCAACGCAAGGTCTTTATCAGGGAAGACCCATAACAAAGAACTCTGATTATATATTTACAGGGAAATGTTTATATTTTTGGCGGTAGGTAATCTTGAAACCATGTCTTTAAAATGATGGTCTGATTTTCGTTAGAATCAGTCATGTCATTTATAACTTTTTGCAGTCAAATTGAAATCAGCATTTGGTGATTAGTAACCAATCTTAAACACTTGTCTCTACATAAATACCGAACACTTAGCACAGTGAAATGTATCTTTCTTTTCCTTTTCCAGCATCAAAATGGCATAGGAGATGGGTCATCCCTCATATATCCCCCCGAAATAGTTGACACTATTCGTCAACTATATCCTGGGGATATAAAAAATTATACACCCAAGAGTAAAAAGGTAACAAAAATTATTCAACTTATGTCAAGAAACTAGAGTAAAATTTTAAGACTTTGTTTCTGTCATAGAGAAAGAACTTCTATGAAGTACCTCTGGAGGAGCTCATCGAAGTTTACAAGGAGGATGATCCGAGGGATGGCTTACAGGTAAGCACTTTTTCCATAGGTGGAGTGTTGAGCAAACCAGTTTGACCTATAGCCTTCGTGGGGAATGGCTCAGTATTCTTTGCGATGAAGCTTAATGGGTTATTGAACCCATATCTGTTTGGCGCCATGGACGTGGTAGTTCATCCAGAAAAAAAGATGGGCAAGGCAGGAATGGCCATTGCTTGACTGCATTTTTTACAGCAAGAGTAATATTACTAATTATCTCTTTAATAGTAGAGACAATCAAAATGGAAGATGTGAAATTGTGAAATGTACATTAGTCCTATATTTGAATGACATGATTACCCTAACAAGAGTCCAAATCCTCCTTTAGCAGGACTGGGTCTTGTCTTATTTTTTTATTACCATTTCCTTGCATTCATTTTCTCTCTCCTTTTTTGCAGCAAGCCCAAGATGGCCCTAGCTCACCAGCAGCCAAGAGACCAAAAAAGGAATAATTAAAAAAAATTAGGAAAGCCACTTCCACCTGATTGCAAATAAATAATTTTCAATATCCCTTTTTTTTTTTACAGAAAATAACTATTAGCTAAAATGCACAATTTATTTTGAAATTAGTCTCAATTTTAGAAAAATAACTCTTTTTGGAGATCTCATGAAAGTGGACTTAGGAGTCCAAGAAAAAATCATTTTTCATTTTTTTTAGCGAGCACTGTTTTCTACCAAGAAAATGCAACACAAATAAATACAATTTTGCACAGTCTAATGAAGGTCTTGTTTCATGGGTAATAGTGGGGACTAGACAATATTGTAAGTTCATATCCTATATGTTATAAATTATTGACAACTGTGACTGACCATACACACCCAACTGGGTAAAAGACATTAAAATCACATTAGTCACCCATACCTTTAAAAATAGTCACCCACATGGATTCCCCCCACCACTTAATTAGTACATGAATTTCAGTGTATAGTGAACTAATGGTACCCAAGAGAGGCATAAACTGTCCAAATTAGCAGGGCTTAAGTTTACTTGGGTCATAAAATTTACTTAAATCTAGACCACAGGCAATCCTTAGGGACTTCAAATTATCAAAGTTCTACTTATAATATGTAGAGATGCAGTAAAGACATGAAAGGCAATAATCCCAATTTTAGATTATTTGCGTTTCTTAGAGCGGTCATGACCTAAATTTTATATCTCCACAAACATAAAGACTTGACAGATTGATACCTAACCATCTGTTCCAGTCAGTATCAACAATAGTATGTAAATTTCCTTACAGGTATGTAAGAAAGAAAGAATCAAAATATTATTTGGAATAGAGAATTTACAAACTGGTTCAGAAGTTGAATTGCAATAATACTGCAATTAATTATTAATCTAAGACATGTCAACTAAAAGGGATAATGAAAAAGACCAAGAAGATATTTCTCCTATTTGGCTAGCTAAAATTATTTTTTAAATAATAACCCTAGGCAGAAAACTTGAAACATGGCCCTTCTGCCACTTTCTTTTACACTGATACTGCAAATTATGTTTCATATCAAGTTTTGTCCAATCTTTCTGCCTTAATAGCGGCAGACAGTTCTAGTAGCATTGTTTTGACTATACCTAAGTATAGAAACTTTTGCATTGCCTTATTTTTATCTTGCTCTTCATCCTAGCACATTAGACCATTTTCAACTTCTATTTCTAAGTAGCCCCTTTCATCCATTCAGTATTCCACAAAACTCTCTTACACGTCTCTTATTCAATGGGCATAACTAGGGGTACCTTCCGGCAAGTGCCAACAAGGCAAATTCAATAACCTTTTGTGGGATGTGCCTAACGGTCCTTCGTGAATCGGTGGACAATTTTAGGGGTTTTAAATTGATTTGTCTATTATTAATAAAGCCAAAATAAGAATTAATACAGAAGATTGTAAATGGACTGTAAAAGGGTGGGGTGGTACGCCCTTATATTGCCTATATGGGAATGTGCCGCTGGACAGGGTATGGTTTTTGACCTCTCCATCCCCTATTGTGTTTTTACTCTACAGTAATTGTCAATAAATTCATAAATAGCTTTAAACACGACGGCGCTTTTTTAGTTTATCCGAAACGGAGTATAATTATAATTGGCGTTGTTGACCTAAGAGGGTATGTATTTAAGGATATTTTTGACCTAAACAGGGTCAGGGTTTCAAACCTCGGCAGTTCACCTATACCTCAATATTGGTTGAGTAACCCCCTGAGGGGTTTGAAACATCAACTTTGGTACATTCTAGGTTAACCTGGTCACAGAAGCTTAAAGGGGCTATGTCAGCTGGGGCACATGCGCAGTAGAGTCCGCTCGAGTCTCATTTGCATAACACTAATACCGGGAGTTTTGCTTTTCCGCCATTTCATCCGTCGAGTCATTCGCTCATACTCACGCGCCGAGAGATGTGTTCGCTTGCCTGTTTTCCAGAGCTTATGGAAACAGACATTGCTGTTGCTGAAAGTGGATCAAAATAATGTGGTGAGTTTAGCCGATTGTTGTCATTGTTTCATTTTTTCTGTTGCTTGTGTGCGTTGTATCATCAATGTCACATCAGTGATGTGAATGACTACTGCTACCTTTGCCTGGCTGGTCAGTGGTAAGATGGTAAAATGGACTTATCCTTCTTTCCTTTCGACTATAGGTTGATCCTTGCAATTGCAAAAACACTTGTTGCAGAAAGACTACAGCACGAACACCTGGTTGCCCATGTAAAACTGCAAAAGTTCACTGCACCGATTTATGTAAATGTGGCACCAAGACAAAGTCATGCCGAAACAAACCGGTAGTTACAATGTTTATAATCACCATATGTGCATTTATTTACGATTGTAATCGATTGTCGAGGTCATGCGAAGTCAGTATTTATTAAAAACTACGTATTTCTGTCATTGTCAGAGTAATCAAGGTCCTGCCGTTCTCCAAGCACCGCCTGACAGACCAACAGAAGAGGAAGAGAGAGTTTTGGAGAACTGAAGGGTAAAAGTAAGTGATCGTTTGTGTTTAGCCTGACTCGGTATTTGCTAAAACATCGGACGCCCGAAGTTTAAGATGTACAGAATGTTTTATGGTTCACCTTTGCTGCCATATAAACTATTCACTTAGGCCTTGAGGTTTCCAGTGCCTAATATATTTGAATTTCCTCCACTAAACTATTATTTCAAAACAATATATTTGCCTAAAAGTTGTCTGAAATATTTGTCGTTCTATGTTGGATCTTTGTTTACCTCAAATGCATGAACCTTTTGATAGTGTGTGGAAATATAGTATTGATTGTAATTGCCATTTTTTGTTAGGAGTTCATATCAACTTTGGATGACAACATGGTGCGTCAGCTGTGTGTAAGGGCACTGAGTCGGGGTGTTAGGAGTATGGAGTATGTAGACAGTCTCCTGATCATGGAGGATGATGATGATGATGATGATGACAGTGGTGAGAATAATTTTGAACAGGAAAGTGAGGAAACTACACCTACAGGCAGTGGAGGTTCACAGCCTCCACTCGGGGAACCGGCACCAGAATGGTGCAAATGCAGACACTGTCAACCCATGGCTCAAGAAATTGAAAACAAATGCTGTGGACTAAGAAAATGTATCACAACAAGTAGACGTTTTGAAAAAGTGTGTCTGGATCCGGAAGTACTCGAACTGTGTATAAGAAATAGGGCAGATATCAGGAATGACCGTGAAGATACGAGTACATCTTCTTTCCGCAAAGCTGCGTACAGACAATTTATATTGGAAAAGTATGGTCGTCTAGGAAAAGGAAATCGCAAGGTTGCCCCAGCTTGTGTAGTGACCCAAGTTAGAAGACAATGTCCTTCACCAACTGGGATATATATGGGGTTCAGACTAGAATAATGTAAATAATCTTGGGTTCTACTAAGGGCTTGGGGCCAGGAAATTCCCCTGGCTTCCATGAGCATGATCACTGGCTACTTTTGTAGGAAAAAAAGGGAAAATAGAACATACAGAATTTCCTTGCTGTTCATATTTCTACCTACTCATTGCATATACCCAGGAACATGATTTCTTAGTGCCAATATATAGTGTTTCAGTTTTTTCATTGTCTTAGCTTTTCTTTTTCCATGTATGGCAATATATAGCCACTATTATGACTGTAATGAAGAAAACAGAAGATGAAATCAAGTTCAAAGTTGAATCAGGGCCAAAAAACCAGCCCTTTCTAAAACAGATGCCATGAGTTTCCAATGAGTGGCTGTTCACAGTACATCTAACTACAATATAAAAATACAATAACAGTTTTCTAGCTTTTCATGATTATTTATTTTCTTATTTATTTGATTTAACTGTTCTTGGTCTCAAATAAGACAATTATCCAACATACACCCTAGCCTTTCCTTCAAATAGAAGCGGAAACAACCATGAATATAAACAAACATTGCCAAAACAGATGCCAAGGGTAATGACGTTATTACTAATGTCATCTCTGCCAATCAACATTTTGCATAGACTTTTTCCATGGAGATATTCAATCCGGAGACGTAGTTGCAATCTCTCTTTCCTTTTCCAAACCCGCTGCCAAGAGCACCCTGGAGAGCTTGCTTGCAGGCCAACAATAATCTAATAAACGCCACTAGCCTTGCTTTCAAATAAAACATTCCCTATATACACCTAGCCTTGATTTCAAATGAAACAATCCCAATATGCACAATTAGCCCAGGGGTTGTATTGTACTTTTTATAATTGGATAACCCTTGTAGCCACCTCCATAGTGAGTACCAAGGCAAAATTTTCGGGGGACTATCAGAAGACAGAAGTGGCTGATATTAATTTTTCGAAATTTTACTCACTGATCCGAGTGGATATTTGTGATTCAACATTGAATTGTCTTCACTTCCTTTTTGTGTGTGTGTGCGTGTGTGTCTGTAGTGGTAAGGACTGGCCAAATTTGTCAAAATCTAATGGTAAGCCCCCTTAGATATGATCTTACATGAACTAGTCCACTTGTGCATGAAAAGAAGGAAACATAAGTTGAAACCAACAAATCCCACAACAGCTCGAGTTCTTGGTTTGAAAAGTTCTAGTCCCCAAAAATGGACAATTTTATTTATCCTTAGGACCGGATCAAGTTTTTATACCAGTAGGTAAAGGTTCAATGTTGTTATTACCTTTCTAATGCTACATTCATACTTTCAGCTTCAACATGTTTCATAAAACTTCAAACCTTTCTAACTTGGAGGAAATGTCACAACAAAATTCATATTTAGCTAGAATGGTAAAGGTTGGTAAAGAAGAACATTGTGACAGTTGAGGACAATTATAATTTGATGAAATTGCCCAGGTTATTTTTGAAACATGTTTAGTCTGAGCATGTCTCAGTACTAGTGTGAAAGCAGCTTTAGACAATCATAATAATTATGTACATAGGTATAGCACAGGCAAGTTCGCTGTCTAAGATAATTATCATTCACTGTTGGTTTGTGTTGACTGTTTCGCTGAAAATAAGTCATTTTTGCACTTTGAAAACCTTGACTGGTGTTTAACGAACAACTCTTTTGAGGATGGAGGTGGTACTTGTGCAATTGTTGGAGCAATTCTTGCAGGATCATCGTCAGACAAAGAGATATGGCGATCTACTGGACCCTTGTCGTTGATTCTTCGTTTGAAGATCTTTGCCATCAAGATACGAATATAATTGAAGTCTTTAGAGACCTTGACCACTTTGGTGTTCCACTCCTTGGTTCTTTGATTGTACTTTCTTGTGTGGCGTGCTTCGCCATTCTGGTTAACAGAAAGGGGTCTATTGATATGGTAGTTCCAGTCCACTGCCGCAAGCTGCCTTCTGGCTTTGTAAACTTGGAACCTAAGTAGTAAATAATAAGACAAAAGTATAGGTTGACAGGTACATGGCTACAAGGAAAAAACATTTGTTTCAAAACACTGCTCCAAAAAATACACAGGTGACTGTAGTACACATGTAACAGACAGTACCTACTGAGTGTCTTTCATCTACATTTTATTTTCACTACACTAGAACATTATGCCTACATCATGGTCTTAGTGCATATATCAGAGCTATCTGCAAATAACTTGCTTTTCAGAAGTAAAATAAAAACTGCAAGCAATAAATTAAGAGAAAAAGGAGGTGACCTACTTGTATGAACACCTCTTTAAAGTGTATCCTAAGGACATGCTATTAGCACACTCAAGCGAACCTGTATGTCTGAAAGCAAAATGACGTAAAGGATATAAAAAAAATTGTTCAAAAACTTAAAATTCACATATAAAGCTCCATTCATGCTAAATAACACTGGATAGCTTTCGAGACCTTTGAAAACCATACCAAATTGGCCTTTCCTGACATGTGCCAATATATTGGAACAACTTTCATGCTGGCACCACAACTTTAACTCAAGGTGTGAAGATACTGTAGTAAAAAAAAATAGTACTGTAAGAGTACAAGCAATGTAGATCCATCCACGAGGAAAGCAAACAGTAAGAGTTTCATTGAAACAATAACCCCTTGTTTTGCTTACTGCCTATACAACATACCTAAACTTTACATAGTACTTGAAACTTTCCAGAAGAGTAGGTTCGAGTATGACTTTCTGGAGTGCAGCAAAGTCCTTATCGCGGCAGTCAAACCAGGGGGGTCGTTCCTCATCTGCGCCAAGTTCCTCTTGGTCACACTGTCCTCCTGTCCACTGGTACTCATCACACACATGGTGCAGAAGGTCAATCCATTTATTCGTCAAAAACAAACACTTTTGGTCAATGGCAGCCTGGCTCCTAATGGGCATGATGACTAGTTCTGTTCTATTTTAAATAGTTAGTGGAGTCACTGACTGTCTTTAAAAAGAGTTTGAAAAGAAATATTTTCGACAATTTGTCACACTCTTTTTTCAAAGATAAATGGATGCTCTGATCATGAGTTGTCAATCTGTGGCGCCTGAATAAGGAAAATTTCATGTCCTCTGAACTATTATTGCATTTAATTTCTTTATGCAAAATAATACCTTTAATATTTTGGTTGCCTTTACTTGGTCATCACATTCTGATGCCACCGCACAACAGAACCAGAAGTGATTGATTATGTTGTCAGACCATGAAGCTATCTTCTCATTACCTTTTATGGCAGCAACCTGATGCAAAAGAGATCAGAAAACAAGTAACACAAACAATCAAATCTGTAGGAGTTAGTAGTTATAGTGAAGGTAAAAAATTTTCAAATACGATAATCATCTCAACTTGTTTCAAACATTATTGTAATAAAAATGGCAGTCAAAGGATAGAATTCAACCACAACGTGTACATGCATATCATGTGACTCCATTCCCATTTCTCTGAAAATAAAAATAAAAAACTCCTAGTTCTCATTTCACCCCTTCAATGCTATCAAGAACAGTTACATGTCCCATAAGTATGTTTATCTCCTCTCCTCACTCAGCCAAATAATAGCAGATGCATTCAGAACATACATAGGGGCTCCTCACAATTGTTGCTTACAAGTATCTATAGAATACTTCGGAAATTACCTTCTGAATACACTTCCTGATACTTTTTGCCTTGTGCCAGATATCAAGTGAATGAAAGATGTCTGTGAAGTCATCAGCTACAGCAAACAACAAAATAAGTGTAATTTGTGTAAAAAAATAATTTGCAGGGTAAAACAGAACAATTTCTTTTACTGTACTGAAACACAAAACACACATAAAGACACTGTATATCTGCTTGTTTTCTGTGTACCTTAATGGTAGACTGTATCTTAACATCAAATTTATTTTGAGAACTTATTTTCAAGAGTAAGCTAACTTATAACTTCCTTGTATTTCCCACAACCAAGAATAAACAGTCATTCACCAACAGTAATATTATTTCCACAATAAAGTTAATTTGTACTTTCTTTTGAAGAAATGAATTGCTGAGTTCCCTGGACATTGTCAAGAAACAAAAAATTGAAATATTTACCTACAAGTTTCTTTATTGATGAGGAGGCGTCGGTACATACTTCTATCACACTGGCTATGCTTTTCAGCCGTTTCAAAGCATTCTTAAGAGCTCTGGTTTCCATTGTACTTGACTTCATGCCAACATGGCGTTTATCAAGCACCTCCACCTCCAATATATATTCTGACACAATTTCCATCAAATAGTAGCATAGGTTTTTTGCAGAAAACCCAGGCGAATCACACTGACCATCACCGCTAACCACCAATTCTTTATTTTGAAATTCAGCAATAAGCTCTGCTCTCATCCACTGCCACCATTCATCAATTGCGGGTATGCAGTACAACTTCTGTACTCTAGAGAATGTTGAAGGAGAGATGAAGGAAAGACCCCAAAATTGGGCAAACCTTTCTATTTTTGCAAAGTTGTTCCCACACAACAAAACAGCTGCAGCAGCTTGAAGATTGTTAGACAAGACATTGTTCACTTCCCCTGAAGTGCAGAATCTACCAATGTGACCAGCAGGGCACTTCCAGCGAATCATGGCACTGGTGCCACACAAAGTGTAATCAACTGTGGTGTCAAAAATACATCCTGGATGCTTGCACATTCCTCCCAACTGCTGGACTAAGAGATCCAAAGAACAGATAACTTTGGTTCCCTTGATGATTCCAAGCTCCCCTGGGTACTGACTTTCCTCATATCTCCTAGTAAACTTTTGGTGAGGCCCATATTCTGGCATGTGCTTTGGAACGGATGGTTTGGCTTCATTTCTTCCCCCTGTCTGGGTCATAACAGACCTTGTTGTCTTAGTAACTTGATTGGTTGGCAGTTCATGTCTTGAGCTGTTTTCAGGATGCTGCTTCTGTTCATTTGTTGATGAAACTGGGAGCAATTCCTGAAGTAAGCTGGCATCTAGCTCATCCACCACCGCTTCTTCCTCAAGCTCCTCTTCAAGATCTGCTTCCCTATGGTGAAAGAAATATTGTCAAAGAACAGATTAGCTTCTTTAGTTCTGAGATAAGGCTTTTTGTTTTGATCCCTACATGTTTAAGTTGACTATCTTTTTATCCCCACCATAAAGATGACTCTTATTCGCTTTCACTCCCACTATCATCTAAATTCTTGTTATCATCAAGATCACGTAGAGCTTCATTTAGTTGTTCACTATATAAGTGAATAAGATAATGGAAATGATAAACTTGAGCACATATTAGCAAACTATTTACAATACTATATAAAGGACACTAAATGGTCAACATACTTTAAATAAAGTTTATCTACCTCAACAAGCAAGCCTGGAAAAATTTGTTCCTATTACAAAGGGCATGTGTGGTTAGGCCACCATCTTAGTCAAACAAACCAGATGATTTGTCACATAAACATTATGTTAATTTTAAATGTCTTTCATTACGGCATAACTTTTCTACAAAATGATAGTCTTAGTATTTGATCTGTGTGGCAAAATGCTCGACTGCACCTAGGATTTCGTACAGCATGGTTTCGTCAGACATTGTCGTCTCCATAACACCATCAGTAACATCAAGAAAACTAAGCATCAGCAAACTATGCTGCCTGAATGCCAGTACAGAGGTGGAGAAACACAATAAACATAAAAACCCACTCACTCAGCAGCAGCAGTAAATGACATCTCACCATCACTTTCTTCAGCAGATGACCTGTCGGAAAAACTGGACCTCCGTGATACCATAACAGAACCGTTATGGATTATGTAAGAGCTGTCTCCAATAATTTTAACATCCTCCACTGCACTTAGCCCAGTAATGTCAACTTCCATCGATCTAAAAATATAAAAGGAGAGGTTTGGATACAAAACAGATATGATATTATATTATAAAGCAATCTTATGAAGCAATAAACCAGCTGCAAGTTACACCGGGAAAATGAGGGCTAAAGAACAATTATGTGTTCTACATGTATGTTTGCAATGAACATACTTACATTGTAAGTGTTTATATTTTAGATTCAACCAAGTGGACATAAGAAGAGACCAAATAATTTTTTAAGATAAATAATATAATTTTGAACCAAAGTATGATTTTCTTTACAGCCAAACACGGAAATAATCCATCTTCGATCACTAAATTGAATTACATTTCACGAAAATTAAGACTGGCAAACACAAAGAAGTCTTGCTCCCACCTTGTCTGTAAGGAAGGGCATTCTACGACTTACTCATTGAAAGACGTTTCTGTAACTTGCAATAAAGAAGCATTTGTAGGTGCGGGACTCTTTGCACTTAAACCCTGAGCCGGAGTCGACGTCATCGTAGGCCCTGGTAAGGAAGGAATGATGAACTTCTTAGTTGTTTCCGGAAAATACAATACATAGAAGTTAAGATCAGAAAGTTATAAGCAAACACAAACACACCGTCAAGGACATCTTCATGAAGTCTTGGTCACTTTCTGAGAAGAGTACTCGAGCTTCTGTGAGGACTTCCATTTTGTTTATGATCAGAATTATTTTCCCTAGTATATGGACAATTTTGCAACATCAGTCGATTGACATTTAAATCCAATGCGATACATAGGGCGCAGAATACAAGTCAGAGGCATGCTTACCTTCGTCGTTGCTCCAAGGAAAGAGGGTGTCCTGCAAACTTAGAATCCGTCGTAAAGCCACACTTTATTCTCGCCGAAACCCAAGAAGAATAAATGATATGGTCTATATACACCCTCTGATGTCCTCTAGTCCAAGCTGTATGTTGCGAGGACTTGCTGTTGTATATTCTTTTTCGACCGCTGCCTGCACAATGGCCGCCATGCGAAGACATTGTAAATCCACTTCAAAAAAACTGTTAGGAGTAGACAGTTTCCAAAATATCGCACAAAAGGCTTCTGTTATTACAGTAGACGCTTCTCAATTAAAAATTGCTCCGATTATATCAAGATGACCAAGATTCGAACGGATAAACGCAGCTTCCACAAACCCCCGACAGAACTTGAAAAAGTCAGGCCGTCTTTTTCAAGTTGATTAATATCGACTCACGCATGCGCCTGGGCTGACATAGCCCCTTTAAAGTGTCTTTGGTAGCAAATCTTCACTGCAAATTTCATTTTATTTAAACGATAAACGTTAGGTAATCAATCCTTGAAAATTGAACTTGAACAAGTTAATAACAAGCTGTGTCTACTATCTACACTTCAGCAGTGCTTTGTTTCGAATTATTGAAATCAATGTATTAAGTGCCTATAGTGTTGTTTTCTTTCATGGTATGAAACAACAAATACAACAATTGAATTTGTACAAATGAATTTTTTTAAATTCGTAACACGTCTCAGTAATAAATATCAAAGTTTTATAACGTTCTTATACATAGCAAAAAATGTAGGTAACAAAACTATGAACGCTTTGATTGTATTGGTCTGTTCACGAACTTAAATAACAGTTTCTTTTCCACTTTGTTTCACTAGAGTTCACATGCCATTTTTTTGAAATTCTTTAACTTTGTCCACAAAATGAATGATTTGTTTAGTACCACTGTACTTCCTGTGGAAATTACAAGTTTAGTACTTCTTTGACAATGTTCCGTTGGGAGTTGTATTTCAATTTGACATCCTTTAGGCTCATTAGGGCATCTTCTATTTCATCTATGTTGCTGCTCATACTTGCCGTTGTATTCTTCAGGAGGTTTTCGATTTCATTTGTAAATGCAGTGAGCCACAATTCCGATTCATCGTGTTGAATACACAGCTTGACAGAGCCTTCCCGCCTGCAGTTGATGATCCTTTGTCGCACTTTGCAGTTTTGGCATCTCACTGACACGCCCGATTCATCCCCAATTTGTTTTTTGCAAAGTTGGCATGCACTAAAAATGCTTAAACTGGCAACATATTTTAGTTGACTTGCAATGATCTCTCTTTCTGGATTTGTCAATATTTCTGGGCCCACTAATTTTTTGAGAGTTGTGGTTTCCTCACTGTAAGTTGTATTCCTGTTGGTGGTAAGGAATTTTGATCCTTGATAATACCGTTATGTGAGGTTTTGAAAGTGATAGGCCTTGTTGCTTTTCAGTTGTTTAAATAACAGTTCCCATATGTGGAGTTCCATTGTGCCTGTTTCGTCTTCCAATATGCAGGTTTCTATCTTGTTTGGCTCCTGGGCTCCCATTGACAGAGTTGCATGGACGTTGACTTTCTGATTGGGCGCCATTTCTTTCAGTCAGTTCTCGTAAAGAGACATCAGACGCTTCCTGTGATGTTGATTTGGAACGTTCTGACTTGACAAAATTGGTACATAGGAGAATGGTACATCAGCATTTGCACACTGTGAAACATAGGATTGCTGGTTGAAAAGCCAGTCGTTGTCTTCATCATCTGGTATAAGAAGGTTCTTTAACAAGACGGGAGACTTGGTTTCTTGGAAGTGCTTGATCTTGGGATGTTTTGTTTTGTCAAATCCAACTACTCTTTGCACTTTAGTCGGTGAAACTTGCAGGTGAAAGTCAAACCAATCATGTCTGGACCTTGCAGCGGTTTTGATGGGGGATATTTTTTGGATGTACCCATACTTGTTTACTAAACGAAAGAAAAGCAAACAAATCCAGGATGCCTGATCATCAATGAGCTTACAGTGACAGCAACAATAACCCTATTATCATCATTATAGTTAACACAACACATGCTATGCTATCTTAGCATAGTTTGCTTGAACATTTCTCAAGTGTCTTGAGCTAAAAAAGGTTTTCCATCTTTGCCCCCACTTTCCCATCATATCAAACATATAAGCTCTTTCATAGGGAATATCAACTTGAATAAAATTTTACAACTTACCCCTAGACTGCTTTCTTGCTGACATCATGAACTGTAATTTTTTAAAGTAACAATAACGTGTTAGCAACTCAGTTTACAAATAAGCCCATCTTTCAGTTACACATAAAATAAGCACCACAGTGAGAATCACCTCAGAAAGTTATAATATTTTTATACAAGAGGAAACCTGATTTGCAGATTCATGTAAATTGATGTCTACAGACTCAGACTTTTGAAATACGGCAAAAAAACAGCCGTCCGGATAACTATACAATACTTCTTGAAAGGATAAGAAACGCCTTACAGAAACGCACAAATCATCAAGATAGATCCAACCGCTCTCACTTTTTAAGGCAACAGTAAAATGTCTATTTAAACACCTAATAATTCCTTTGAGGCAGTATGAAACTCCTAAGGTTTCCATATCATGTGAAAAAAACATTTGAGTTATACAATCAGGTGACAATTCTATCATTAAAAAGGTTGGCAGGCACACAAAGTGTCGAAGAGAAGCAACACTTCCAGAATGATTTTGGCAGTAAACACAAAAAAGTCTATTGATGTTGGGCAGCATAGCTTCTGATACAGAACTTTCAAAACCATTCTGATTTATATGGCGATAGGTAATATACAAGACAAAAACATCTGTGGATTTGGTGATTTCCTGCTTACACTCTGAACAAATGAAATGATTGGTATGTTGAATAAGAAATAACGATTTTAAACCAAACGTTAATTCTCCAAATGTATTGATTTGGAATATGTCACTGAATACAGCATTATCTGACATACCTGTAAAAGAGGCACAGTGCTGTCTCATTTAGGAAAGGATTTCACCACTATTTACTTGCACACATGCTGTGTATAACATTTCAAAAAATTCATTACGTTCCACAGACTCAATAGCATCTTTAAAAATGTAACAGCTTAAGTCTATAAAACAATCAATTGCACATGAGAATTTTCCTAAAAAATCAAGGCAGTAATTCCTGAAATGCATTTGCTCAACGGGGAGGAATGAACGAGGCAATGACTGCGATATTTCTTTACCAAAACGTTCTTGTAAATGTGGTTTGGTTTAGGAAGATTTACGGGAGTTTGAATCCTTTGACAATGCTGGATTTCCATTGACCAAATGTGCTTCCTTGTTTGTTATTATGTAAGGATTAAAACTACCATTTGAAGCATACGGAATTCTTCTAGACAAATATTTCCGTTTGTAATGGGTGACCGTATATAAGTATGGGCCACAACATCTAATTTTGTGTAATTGTAAGTCGTCACTTAAACAAGAACGCGGAGGTTTAATTATGGAGCAACTAGTACTGCTTCCACAAATAATGAGTGATACAATCAGCATGAAGCAGTAAACATGAAACATGACAAAGTTGGTATGCAACTGAACGCTCGCAGTGATCAAGCAATGGAAACCACTTGTTTGTCTTGATTTAATACGCAACGCTGGGGTTTAAGGATTTTTTTCTGCTAAAAGATGTAAAAATAAATCACTTCGCTTCTTTTCTCATAAGTCTTCAGAACGTCTCAGTCGACGAAAAAACACCTCGTTCGAAATTGACAGGCAAACACACAGGTGCGAACACGCTGGTGCAATGCAAATCGAGTTACGAAGAACACGCTGTTTCTAATAAAAATTTGAGCGTATAATCCTATTCCTTGATCAGCTACCGCTTAAAATTCAATTTACAAAGGAAAAGAGAGCACTGCAAACCCTGGTTCTGAATAGAGAATGTATAAAGCAAACATGCTGGCTTGAATGTAAGGCATCGAAGAACAAGCTGGCTCTGACAAAAATTTGAGCGTAAAACCCTATTCCTTGATCAGCTGCTGCTTCAAACGCAATTTATAAAGCAAACCAAACCACTAATAGCCTTTTCAAACTAGAAATCGTATTAAAACTTGCTCACCTGTTATGTCATCAACCTTCTCCGATAGACAACGAACAGCTGCACACTGGACCACGCAATCTCAAACCACGAGTTATAAATACAAGACCATGATGGCACTGCCCAAATATGGGGTCTTACTTACACCCAAATATGGTCAAAAATGCAAATTTTAGAGGGTTACGCAGAATTTGAGGGGTTTTGCCCACATTGCGTGGCGTTATAATCTGCCGCCGAGTCAACCTCGCTTCTTAGCTTGGTTGCCTCGTTGGCAGTGAACTGGAGCGACGCATATGGTCTTTGCCACCACAAACACAGGTTTTTGTTTGTGTCGACTGTCTTGATGCCTCTCTGGTTGCAGAATTTGTCTTGTTGCACTACGTCTTTGACAAACAGCAGCCAAAGCTGTATCTTCATCCAAGTCAACTTCATCATCAATGCCGTACGTGTGAATTATCCTCTGTCTCTTAGTAACTTGGCTCCTGATAAAATAGATGAGTACTTGTGGAATTAAAATCTTTAAAAAACACAAAATTCTAATCAAATAACTTGAACTGTGACAGTGACCCTATATTTACCATTCTCAGGAGGTATCATATGCTTATTTCACAATAGCGAAGAGAGAGTTTCTAAAGAAATATTTTCATCTGTGAGAGTGAAACACACAATTGGTTTTACCAACCAGGTCAATTAGGTGAATTTTCGGCTATAGAAGTAAACTGAAAGTTGCCACTTTGAGTGCTTAACCAGAGACTGGCTTTGAAGCTTATTTCCTCCCTCTGTTACTTATTATTATTATTATTATTATTATTGTTATTATTATTATTATCATCATCATCATCATTATTATTTTCTGTTTTTTAAACAAAGTGCAAGTTGTACAAAAAAAAAGTCTGTCTTCAGTCACATACAAAAAGTAAATAAGAAATACATCTGGTTTAGCTAGAGCCTGGTGAAATAAAGCTAATTTGAATGCCACAAGAGTATGCTTGTTACAGTTATTATTATTTTAATCTAGTACCATTTTTTCTGTTCTTCTTGATGCCTTTGCTTGAATGCCACTCATTTCCTCTTTGCGTGATCTGTTTTGTTCCATTCTCTCTGAGTTTTCTTTGGAAATAATTTCCTCTATGCCATCAATTTGTGGCAAGCGCATTTGCCCAAAAAGTTCAAGAACTTAGTGATACGTAGAGCCTTTGCCTTTGATGAGGTACATCATGTTGCTTTGACAAAGACCCATGTTAGTTGACACCTCATAGTTTATCTGGTGGAGATTGGTGTCCTTAGGTCTGAACTTCTTAAGGACACTAAATTTACTTTCTGGCAAATTAGAATGACCTTTGCCCATCACTGGATCTATGACCTCATTTGCCTTCATTTCGCAGAGAAGGCTGTGGAAGTCACATGTCAATGCCCTTCCCCTGACCTTGTATGGTCTANCATTTGCCCAAAAAGTTCAAGAACTTAGTGATACGTAGAGCCTTTGCCTTTGATGAGGTACATCATGTTGCTTTGACAAAGACCCATGTTAGTTGACACCTCATAGTTTATCTGGTGGAGATTGGTGTCCTTAGGTCTGAACTTCTTAAGGACACTAAATTTACTTTCTGGCAAATTAGAATGACCTTTGCCCATCACTGGATCTATGACCTCATTTGCCTTCATTTCGCAGAGAAGGCTGTGGAAGTCACATGTCAATGCCCTTCCCCTGACCTTGTATGGTCTACCCTCACAAGTAAAGTTGGTATTGTAATCCCCATCACTGTCTTCACTATCTTCACTACCTTCACTATCTCCACTATCACTATCGTCACTGTCCTCCATGGTCTTATCCTGAACTACCTGCCTTCCTGACACCCTGCTACCTGCTTCACTGTCAACACTATCTATCTGCCTCTCTTTCCCATCACAGTTGCCACTGGAACACACATGGATGGGGTGCCAAGGGCATCTGTAGGTTTTGCCATCACCTCCAGTCCATTCGTGAATGTCACAGGAATGATATTTCCCCAGAATACGCATACGACTGGCATATTCCTCTGGGTCATTCCCACTTTGCTTCAGGGCTGAAAAGTGGTTGCTTTTGGCCCTACCCAGAAATTCATCTGACATGCAACCACAGGTTTTCGAGTGGGCTCACTTCCCAGCACTCTCACATTTTGCTGTTTCCAGCTCAGGATAATTCTTCTTGTGAGTGGCCACAAAAGACAAGTCTACAGATTTCTCTCCTTTGTAGTGTTTAAGATTGTTGGCATGTAAACGGCCCACTTGACCCTCACAAAGCATGACACGGCTCAGTGAGCTATCAGGGAACACATAACGAAATGATTTTCCTGACGAGGAGTCTGCATCTTGCCAATTGATGGCAATAACCATTCCCTCCTCCTTAGCTTTTGTAAAACAGACCTCAGCCAGATGACTCTCTGCAGCTTTTGTTGTTCCCTCCCAAAGGTCTGAATCACATATATTACTTGAGCCCCTCATGCATGCATGACCATAATACAATGTACAGCCAGTTAAAAAAATTGATAATGACAAAAGTGCAGCTTTGGCTGTGATGTCACCTAATTAGCCAGCAGCCGTCAGAAGAAGTAACAGCATTCCCCCAGCTGCCAAGCTCTGGAGGGGTTTTGACTTTCATTTCACTTTTGCCCATTTCACAAATCTCATCCAGAACAGCTTTCACAGATGGATGGGCTAGTTTAACTATCTTATAAAAATTGAGGTAAGTGAGGGTATGAATTCCCAAACCTAACTTTAAAATTTAATGATAAAAAGGGTAACCGTGTCCCCAGATAAGGAAGCAAAGACCTAAGGCAACAGACACACAGTTCCTTCTTCCTTCAGATAGGCTGACCATGCTGCTTGCGTAATGAATCCTTACTCCACAGCCATTACACATGATATTTAGCTTTATTGCACCACCCAAACCTTTATCCTCCAATGTGACTGGTACCAAGAAGCCTGTTCAATAGATTGATAATTGAAAATGCTATCAATGAATGTGGGTGCTTCAACATCGAAAGAGCTTATTGGAGCAAGCACTCTTTCTGTGGCTCCACAGGATCAACAGTTAACAGTGAAAATGCAAATGCCACAGTCTTTCAGCTTTCATGGCTGCTCTGTTTCCGTTATAAACAATAACTAAATGCTATGAACTAAAAATCGACAAACTGTTGAAAACTTGGCCCAATTATCAATCACCAATTTGATATAGTTCACTAGTTCACTTGAGCTTTCCTTGCAGTTCATAAAAGTATTGTGGGTCATTGCACTATTTTAAAGGTGTTTTTTTTACCGAACAGTTTTGGTTGGATTTTCACCAACTTCACATCTGAATGAATGAATGAATGAGTGAATTTTCATTAGCTGCACTTTTGTATCATGGTTTAAAAAACGTGACAGGTACGTAAATTTTGGCAAATTTGGCACAATCAAGCGTGATGCTTTCTTTTATTTTATTTCCAAATAAATATTTCTTCAACTTGCATTTGCCAACTTTATTATTGCCTTTTCTGCCCGACTAGTTGGGTGATACTAAAACAATAATTTAGACCCTTCACCCTCAAGGGCCACAGGTCTAATCATTAAATAATACAAAAAGAACTATATAAGCATTTTCAGGATTTATTTGCAACGAAACTGGATGGCCTGTTGTGAAATGTGGTCATTTTGAGAAATAATCGTTCGTGTACATTTTCGCAAAGGCCAAAAATTTTCCTAAGCCGTTCAGTTAGTGTGGAAGTATTGATGAGCTGTTGGACTGGGTAAGGAAGCCGTTCACCCGTTTGTGTTCGCCATTCCAAAAACTTAATGACCCATTTAGGTGTTTGATAAACCCATTCGAATGGGTGAGTAAGCCATTTGTTAATTCGTTTTAGCCATTCACAATACTTAAAAAACCCACAGAACCGTTTCATGGACCCACTCAAACGGGAAAGTAAGCTATTTGTAACCCGTTTGGTAGCCGTGCATTTCACCCGTTTAACAGAAAACCATTAGTGTATGTTTTACCGTGGAAAACACTGCAAGGCAAATATGGTTCTGCACTTGGTTCTGTTCCTTGTGAAGATGTCACATTACAGCTAACTGACGATGAACTTGTTATTGATGATCAAACCAGCAAGGCCTTGGCATGCTTAAATCCAGCAAAACAGAAGTTGGTTATTCTCGGTATTAGAGTATTTTACTCAGCCACTGGATCCTATCTTCAGTTAAGGTTACCCCCAGGCAATAAGCTATTGAGAGACCTTGGTTGCCTAAATCTCCTCTAAAGGAATTGGAAATCACAGATGCATCCATTCAGAGTCTTACAAGGAATGTGCAACGTCAAATAGATATAACATCCGTTGTAGATAAGTGAAAATTGCAGCAAGCAGACCAAGATGTGCCCCAGCCAAATGGTGACTGAGAGAAGTCTTTCAATAAATGCAAGAGTCATCTGTAAATTAAAAGAGCATAAATGTAGCTACAATGATACTTGACAATATTAAGACCAAACAGGGCAATGCAATGCAAAGCTTCGAGAAAATAGAAGAAAAACGAAAATTGCTGACTGGCAGACACCACAAACTGCTGGATAAGGCCATGTCATCAGCAGCAAGTGCAGGCAAGAAAAATTTTTGGTTGTCCAACCTGCTAAGAGAGAGAAAAAGGTAATGAGTACATGCCTTCTTACTGGCTTTATTGGGCATTACTTTAATTAACTCTATTGTGCATAGGGTGACAGCCAACTTGGATATCCTTTCTCAAAAGCACTTAATATGCCTGGCTTCAATGTTGTGATCTGAGAGCACTGTAACTGATGTAGCTCGGACGCAGTGGTTAGTTAGATGAGGAGCTATCCCAGCAGATGTTGGCCTATTTTGTTCATCATGTTTTCGAGTGTGCTTTTGCCAATGGGGGAATTGCAGTACCACACTTCATCCTTTTTGTTGCTGGAACTTTGTTGACACTTCTCTTGGTCGTTGAAACAGAGCCAACAGGTTGGGATTCAGGTGTTTAAGGAAGCAGGGTTTTCACCGGGCAGTGCTGTGAATTAGGAACCTCAAACATTTTACGGTTGGATTTGTCAGGGTTACCAAAAATTGATCAACCAAGTATTTACATGTATGTTTTACAAGATCTGTAAAGGGCTTGTTGGTATTTCCCTACCACCTGAAATATCTCACACTACAAGGGTTACAAGATCTGCTAATTGTGTATCATTTCACCAACTCACCACACTGAATGATGCCTATAAATTTTCCTTTTATCCTAAAAGTATCAGATACACTTATCTGTAATCCCTGATTTATTAGCTGAATGTGAAGCCAATATCTGTAGCATGAAAGATTTGGAGTATACTTATCAAAGACTAAAAGTTAAAGTTTGATTGACTACACCTCGTGTCACTCAGTTTCATACATCGCGCTAGTTTAGTTAGCTGCACGCAACTGCTAAAAGAAACAACACAAAATATCCCAAAAAATATTCAGTAGAACTTTAATGTTTCATAAGTAAGTACGACTGGTGTATACACACTATGATTAAGAAAAATTATAATGCTCTTACAGTGTGGGATTGAATTTTGAAACGTCGCCTCTACACAGATATCATACAGCTGATAAAGTTCACTGCTTATAGAACTGGTGTAGCTGAGTCATTCCAGGCTTTCAAAGCTGTCTTTTTTCTCGAAATAAGTAATTTCAGCATTCCTCTCTTAAACCTTCTAGGTTGATCTTTTGAAGTAGAACTGAAACTGGAGGGATGGCAATCCCATTCCTTAGTAAAAAAATATCTTGTACTGGATATGACAAATACTCTCGGCAGTTGACAATGCCTTGTTCATTCTTTGAAAATCTAACGTGATGAAATTTTTTAATGTTGGGGATTTTTTTGAAATGTTGTCCCAGAAAAGTGCTCCAGTCATTTGCAGCCACTATGACAAGGCCGTCTTGAGTGGCTACCAGTTGAACTTTGCGGGCTCCTGTGTTGCTTGAAGTGTCCACCATTTGAGCAAGTTTGTAAATTGAAGAAATGAAACTGACTTTGTATGACTTTTTCAGCGTCCTGAAACAACAATGTGGGCCAAATTTATTATGTCAAGCAATAAGGAAGGAATAATTTATGTTGTGAAGAAGTTCAGGTACAATCCTCCATGCTCAATACTACTTTGTCCTGCACAATTGTTAGCATGTAAATGAACATCTGTTTCCCCGAGAACATGACACGAAAAGAAGTGGTGGATGTAACTTGTTGTAGCATTGGCGCACGTACCAACTGTAGCAGCTTTGTCAAGTAAATAGGTTATTTGACAGGGTACACCCTCGCATGATACTCCAAAAATTCCACATTCTTGAGGGGTCTTGAAATAGATTGGCCCAGGTTGCATAGGGTTGCTTGGAAACTGAAATTGTTGTTTGTGGACTTCACTTGTTGCTCAAGCTGAAGTTGGCTGCAATTTTGCTGTCTGGGAAAATATTCTGAAATGTATCTCCTATATGATCTGCAGAGTGTATACTAAATTTACAGCTTGCAATCTTTACCAACCAGTATATTTCAGCAACAAGAGAAGCATCATTATAGTTGAAGCTCACATTGTTTACACTTGAGCTTGCCTTCCAACTGATACTTAGTGCAGCAAATACCATCAACTTACACTGGTTATTATTGAGAACATGATGTGTTGCTTGCTTCTGTTTTTCTTTCTTTGCATTCTGTATAATACATGGGGTTTCCCAGAATTGTCTAAATTGAATGAGTATCATAGAAGCCGGAGTAGCAGGAAAACAATGTTTGCCCTTCCAGCACCACTCACCAACTGTCTGACCGTTTCCATCAACATGGGAAAGCCATGAAGAATTAAATTTTGTGTGTCCGATCAGACTGGGAAAGAAACACAGAGAGTGTGTAACTCATAAGCCCCACAGGAGACTAAGGAAACGTGACCCCTTATTCCCAGGAGCTAATAATTAGATCTGCAGTAGCTACAGACTCATTTTCTACCCTTCCTGAAAAAGTTTCTTATATCTAGAAAACTACAAAGTAAAATGCAAAACACTTGGGACAAAAATGTTCAGAGGGGAATCATCTTTAATTCTAGCCAAAAATTACTGCAAACAGTGAATCATGGAACTGATGATGATAATAGTAATAATAATATTTATTTCAAAGGATCAAATACATATCCTAAGTTACAATGAAGTCAACTATCATTATAAAACCTTGTGCTTAAAAATTAGCTTAATTACAAAAGTTGTCGTGATGCACTATGTGTTTATTTTTGGCAAAAGGCACCCAACCTTATGTAATTTGTATTTCATTTATCTTCTCTCTGGTATTATCCAACTTAGGAGTGGCCATCTATACTAATTGATTTCGGTAAAATAGAGGAATCTCGGCTTTCAAGTAGACTAAAAATGCTTACTGGATATGACATGAAATGCCGCTTATCATAACTCTTCAGAAAACACTGAACTAAACTAAGATCTGAGTCTGGCGCTATATACGCTTGAACAGTACAATACAGTAGACAAAATGATGGCCTTGAAAATGTGATTGATTTCATCCTGGTTATACTGTTCTTTGCACAATGTCCTCAATACGTACAAGCATTTTTTTGCTATAGTTAATTTGATTTTCGCATAACTGCTAAACTTTGATGTAATCACCCTGAAAAGTTACTCCTAATAGGGGGAGATCCTTACTTTGGGTGATACCACTAATGGGTGCATATCACAATTTGTTTTTCTTTCTAAAATAAATTCTTATGTTTACTTGGATTACAAGAAATGCTGCCATCTTTGGCCCATGTTAAAAGTTGAGTTACTAGTCTGGCTGATGTGTCATTATTGTATCAGATAGGTGCGACTAATGTAGAATCATCTGCATATTTAAATAAAATAGGATCAGAATTGTGTTCAATTTCTTAGTCATTAAGAAAATATTAAACAAGTGCAGCCCGGCGCTGATGGCTGAACATTGTTGATACTGCTACGTCACAATGTGATCCAAACAACAAGGTCGCTGTGCTTGAAGCCAGTGAAGCCACAGACAGGGCTTGGGCAGCAAAGGTCAAAATGAACGATGGCACAACAACAGAATAAGATAATACTGGCCTACCTGAAGTCCAGGCATTGATGTTAGCTGCAGGCAAAGGCACAAGATGGTGAAATTCCCAAAACCCGAATCCCGCACGTAAAATTAGCTTTTCATCCAATATTTGCTCAACGACGTTCAAAGGGCTCCTCATGATATCTTCTAAATTGGTGTGTTCGAGAATAGTTCTCGCTTAGTTTATGTTTTTTGTTACGACTGTTCGATGTCCTCCACGTTTTGCCTGTAGGTGATCCAACTTTTCCTTTTCTTCTCCCATGCTAACTAATGAAACGACTCAGTGCAATGTTGACAAATGAAAACGACTCAAACGAATGCAAACTGCTGCCCCGCGTTGGGCGCCATGTGATGAACAGAAAAATGGATAATTTATTGTCTTGTAACATGTGACTATACGCACGCGTTATCCTCGCATGTACCGATTTGTAATGATTACAACAATTTGCATCTGTAGGTTCTGCTTTTTTTCAAGACGGATTCACAAAATGTGTTCATATAAGGAAGTTCCTGGATATATAAGGTCCAGAGCCCCACTGTGGACACAAAAACAAACTATCTTTGTACAGTGATTTGCCCCCCAAAAAATAATGCATGCCCACAATGTGTTTGAAGTTGCTGAACTTTGTCGCATTCAAGCTGATATTGTAAACCCACGCTCGATCAGACACTTGAAGCTTTGCAGATCACTGAAATGTAAACAAAATCCTGTATGTCAAGTTTTGGCGTCGATATCTAGTAAAATCTTCCCCAAAATCGGTTTCAAAGCAAGAATTAAAATTAAATTATGCTTTGTGTTGTCAAGTTGAAAAAAACTCTCTGAGGATCGGAACGAATAAATTCCAATAACACAACCTGAAAGCACATAAGGCCAGTGAAGGACATACTTTAAGACACTTGTTTTGGCAGCCAAGTATGGGTAGATAAATACTATGGTTGCGTTTATTTGATTGCAGTTTCATGCATTAACTTGCAGACACAAATAGCATGCATCCAAAATAAATTTAAAAATGATAAGAGTGATCAGTAGTTTTGCTGAGGGACCAGTAAGTCTTAATCCTACTGGTCCTATGGAAAACCAGACCCAAAAGTTAATTGCGAGCACTGGTTGCTTGAGACTTTTAAACCCTCTTACGCATTAAGCAAGGTGAAAAATGAAAACGATGCCGTCGGAAATCGGATTACCGAATTTTGACAAGCGATGCATTTCTCAACCAAAAACCCAATAAACAAAACAGCCATGAATAACAGAAGACTCTTGATAGCAGCTGTATTTCATTTTGTACATCCAGTGGAAAAAGACAGTTACTTCAGCTGTCAAAGTAAACAACTTTCAAGATGCTGCATAAATTTTCCACATGAACTCACGTGTCAAACTTTGACCAATCAGAGCATAAAAATTGGACATAGAGCGTGACCAATGCTTGACCATGGTAAGAAGAGGTCTTCCCCGCCTTTATTTGTAAAAAACTGGCTGAATTTTCGCGTCCGAGGTCAGTTTGAAATCAAATCTTAATAGTGCGGGGCCATAATGACATAAACACAAGATATTTGATGTGAATCATCGGAAAAAAATAAAATTGAGCCTGCGATCATTTGAAACTGGTAATTTGTCAGCAGAAAACTTCGAAAAATACTCGACCCCAATGGGTTGACACTTGAGCCCGCAGCACGGTCATGTGATACTGGTCAGCGGATACCCTGTTTTCATAGCTGTCAATTGATCACAACATTGATGTGCAATTATGTGCAATCTCCTGGGCTCCC